CCTTGAACTTCTTGGTGGATGCGATCATATTTGCACCAAGGTTCTCGCCTGTTGCGTCATTTGTTGCAAATTGATGCTGACAGTTCATGTTTCTGTGGAGGAAACCATGTTAGACAAAACACGAGTGGTTTCGGGTGTTATTCTGTTCTTCTAGCACAATGAGAAAGACAAAATTATACGAGTTGTTGTATGAGGTTTGTGTTTTGAGCAAACGCTAGCTGCGTTTCCATTACAAATGTCCACAAAACTTTGTCTATATTCCGCTAAGGTTGAAATTGTGGTGTGTTTCCTATAAATAACAAATGCAATTAAAATCACTTGTGAGTAAGTCTGTTTCCCCGATAAGGCATTAAAAAATATGCCGCTCCATTATCCACCAGCTACTTCCTGCAGGCGTCTTCTTCGTGGTTTGTGTCATTGGCATGTGACTCGTATGATGCGAAAAAAAGTGTTCCCACTGCAGTTTTGTGAAATAGACTTTGATTTGGCCCAAAAAAAAAACAACAAAAAAAACACACACATCACCATAGCACAAAAACCTATTATCGAAAAACCAGAGTTTTTTTTCCCTCGCAATTGCTGTGTTTCTATTACGCAAATTTATTTTTTGAATGTCAAACTGTGCTAAAATTTTATGGCCTGCAGAAACGCAGCTGGTAAGATTATCTAACCTACGTCGGAGCATTTTGTGTCGCTACCGGTTACCAGGCTCCAGAGTGCATCCCTCCACAGATCTCCTGTCAAACAGTAACACACAGCAGCCGAAGGAGCGTGGCCTGCTGTTTACCTGAGTAACATGCTAAAGACGTGTGTGAACCAAGTCTATTGTCGCAGCTATATGAACTATTTAAATAATCAAAACAACAACCAAAGCTGTTATCCAGTTTTTTGTGGAAAGAGAGAAAAGAGAAAAATAATAATTCATGCAAGTGGAAATTATTGCTCTCGTTTTAATTTGTCATGCAGTTAATTAGTTGCTTATCGACGGGTTTGTCTCTGGGTACTCCGGCTTCTTCCCACAGCCGTTGCCGTAGTAACGGACTGGTAACCTGTCCAGGCTGGATCCTGCCTCTCGCCCAGTGACCTCTGATCTTATTCCCCGATCCATGTTTCAGATTCACAGCTGAGCAGGAAGCGACCAGCCCCTTGTTCTTGTCTCGCTGTTGTTCCAGCTTCAGCTCCAGGAATGTCCTCCACTGCACTTCCCTCTTTTATTTAGAGTAAACACCAATGTGCTTCAGATAATCATATTTTGCTTTGTATTAACCTCCTGAATATTTGATAATCATATTTGTTCAGCTAGACCATGGCAGTCTGCACAAGGATATTTATAATGGGTATGTAAAGTGTTTTTTTGGATCCAGTGTCAAAAGTTTATTAGAATTGAAAGTTTATTGATCTTTGAGATCAATACTATGGTATTACCATTAAATCACTTGGTCTCAGCCACTTTTAGGGAAATTTATTGTCCAGCAACATTTGTAATAGTGTCAGACCAAGTCCAGAGAGAAGAACTCACAGAGGAACATGCAGGAAAAGACCTGTGATTAATGTATTCAAGGTCATCTTACATCTTTTAAAAGAATTTCAGACATTTTACGGCCTTAATTTCACATACATTAATTTAAGTCTTTTTAAGGACGCATGGACACCCTGACTTAAAGAAATGTATTTCAACTTCTGAATTTAAAAAAATAAATAAAAACAAGACAGATTAATTCAGATTACTCTGGCATTTTAACACATAGAAACTAATTTTGATAATCATAACTAACCCAAATAAAGATCAAATATGATGTCAGACAGAGTGGTGATGGCAGTGGTCATCAGAAACAGAATCAGCAAACAATCTGACGTAGGAATCACAGTTATAAAGACATTAATATATACATTTTACAGGATTACGTGTGTTTTCATCAATAGTTTCTCTATGTACTTGGCTAAAGAGTATACGGAGGAAACTCAAACTAGTTCCTTCACTAGTTTGGGTGTAAAAAAAAAAAAAGTCATAGGCTGAGGCAGGCAGCTTTTCACCAGCCCCATGAAAATCAGTTCTGTTCTCGGTGGGACAAAGCAGGCAGAATCAAAGAGGCTGAGGATGATCAACGAGGCTCTGCCGTCTCACGATCCCGCAGACTTCCTCCAGACTGTACTTCCACGTCCCGCATCTGCGACACTGCGCCTCTTTATATTCTGCCTTTAAATGCTTCCTCAGATCCTCTTTTAGGTTGCACTCTTGTGCACTTCTGAGATCAAACTGTCTTTTGAAGTGGGAGTCTTTCTCTGTCTTCTCTAGAGATGAAAGGCGAACCACGGGCACGCAGAGCGCCGTCTTGCCATGGGGCCTCTCTTTCTCTCTCGCTGCCAAAATCCACTGGCTGAATGGGGGTGAGGGGACAAGAGGGACCAGAGGACCATGTCCCGATATGTCTGGACATGTGTTGAAGATGGCTCTCAAATCGTCCTTCCTCTCTCATCGGGGTGTTGCCGTCTTCCTCACGCCGTTTATTGTCACTCCTCTGCTTCATCTCGCCTTTCTCTCCAGTCAGTACTGATCTTGGGACATCCCCGGCATTTCTTGGCTTTTGAAGACGAATGTAATTGAGTCGCAACATGAGACAGATTCTCTGCTTCTCTAACTCCATAGTGAGGTTCAAAGTCTGTGCTGTGAACATGTTATCAGTCCTTATTTTTTCTCTTTTTCTTTTCACTCCCTTATGGTGGAAAGTAGGATTGATGTGTTTCTAGGGCTCAGTGATTAATCGGTAAAATCGATTAATCAAATTTTTAGGTTCTGAAGATTTAATTTTTAGAAAATGTATTTTTTTTTATTACCAGAATAAAGTTATAATATTAAGATAATGAAGTAGTGATTTTAAAACAAAATTAAAAAGTCATTTTGAGCATCTGGTTATACTTTGGTGTTGGTTTTACAAATCGTAGCTTTCCTGAAATGATGGCCTGAGCCATTTTCTGCCAAAAGATGAATCAGGCAAAGGAATCATTTTTAGCACAAAATGAGTTAAGCCATTTTTTTAAAAGAAGGTAACAAAATAATAACATACCTTATCTTTTAACATATAAGTAGCAGGACTTTTAAATGAGTATTTCAAAGAACAGCTGAAACCATCTGAGCCGGTCACACCAGACCCTGATCACGCTTTTTACCCCCCTCATTAAAGCAACTTTTTTTTTCTTAATTTTAAGATATTTTTCTGGTAAAATTGCATCTTTATTCTAATATTATCACTATGATCTCGTAATTTAAACAGATATTCTCATAGAAGGGATGATTAAAATAAAAGCCACTTTTTGAAAATAATCCCAGTTGTGTAATTGTTTCTTTTTTAGAAAACAAAGCAAGAAAAAACTGATTGAAAATTGAAATAGTATGAAAAAATATATTTTTGAACGATGGACTAAGTAGTGCTCCATTAGGTTCTCAAAGTTTGCGATATTGTTTTATAGCCATTTCATATTTCATTGGAATGGAAAACATTTTCAAACGAATTCACAATCAAACATTAATTTGTTTACTTTTGGTGATATTTGCCAAAATGTAAAAAAAAAAAGTTCACCAAAGTATGAATACCTTTTCCAAGCCAGAGTAACAGACGAGCTGAGAGTAACATTTTATATTGAAAAGGATTTTTATTATTTACAGCAAAGCTACAATAAAGAGGGAAATGTCTTAAATAGCATTTCAAATTATTTTTTACACATTTTGACTTCACAAGTCTGACAGCATTTCTTGAACACATCCTGGGTTGATCTTTTCACGTCGTTATAAACACAGTGCAATAAGGCAATGTTTCTATTTACAACTCTTAGAAAACTGTACAGGAGAAGCAACAAGAGCTCTCTTCAAATCCATCTGTTTTATGTGATACGAGATAAATAACAGGTCATTTTAACCACCGCAAATATAAAAATACATACTACTGCAGAGAAAATCTGCTGCTGCCCTTGTTCACCCCGCTTTTACGCGTGTGTGGGTCCGTGTTTTTAGGAATGTGCACGCTATAATTATGAGAGGCCTTCCATTACAATGGCAACATAGCTGAGCTACTTTCTGTTTTCCACCACCCACACGTCTTAAAATGATGAAATACAAAACAAGAACCTTGTTTTTTATCTCAATAAAAAAAGCAACATTTAACTCAATTTTGTGAGTCCAGATATTTAAAAAAAAATATATATATATATTATTTCAGATACACTCCATCTCACAAAAAAAGTTACAAGAATTGAATTTTGATGCTGCTGGGCTTAAAATTTTATCACAATATTTTGTATGATATCAATAAAATTGACTAAGAATCTATTAATACCTTTTTAAATTCATTGATGTTTGTTGATACTTTTATAGAACAAAAAAAGTATCAAAGGTGGAGAAAAATCGTAAAAACCAACAATCCAAACGATACGGTCAGCTTTGGACAACGATACATGAAGATCCTTATCATGCTGAGGAAATTATCGCGATAAATTGATAAACGATACGATAAATGCCCTCCCCTGTGCTGGATCTGAACCATAGAACCTTTATTTCCAAAGCGTCTGTGAAAAGCTTTGGAAATAAACTTACTTCCTTCAAGATGTTTTTAAGGTTGTCTTAAGGTTTTTAGTCTGAAATCAAGTAAGTGCCTTGCCTTTGGACCTGTCAGTGTTTTTGTGTTCAGCCTGAGGGATCCTGAGGGAAATTTGAGGGAGTGTAACCTCTCAGTTTTTTGTCCCACAAGATGTTTCAATAAGTTTAAAATGGCAGTGTTAGTTTGTGCGTTGTCCCATGTCCAATGAGACGTCATAGGTTTATCACATGCGACTGCCGGACAGAAAAGTCTATGAAAGCCAGATTTTAAGCACTGATTTTTTCCCTTTTAAGGCTAATTGTTTTACGCTTTTGATCAACTAATGGCCTGTTTGAGTTAACATGACGTTTTTAATACTTAACATGGTCTTATTTCTTTTGTCTATTGCTCCTTTTCCTTCTTTTTGCATTTTGATGCTCTACTTACAAGCTGGAGAGGGTCCAGCACACTGAAATGCGAGTACTTATAATTTCTTTCCCACTCTGATGCTTTTCAGGATCAGGAGTGTATCACTCTATCTGGACAAGGCCCTCAAGCTGGGCCCGTGTGACACAATATTGTACCAAAGTCCAACCATAAACATTCTACATTTTCTGCATTATTATTTCTCCCTAAAAATAGTTTATTGTCAATGTCAGCATGAAAGTGCCTTTATTTCCCACCCAGAACTTGGGCTGAGGCAACAGTGATGCCTTGTTGCCCAAAAGCTAACTAGCCAAACGTCAACAACAAAAAGCGTGACCATTAGTCGTGGTCATTGTTAGTACTTGCTTGTGTTGCTTTCAATTTCTCTCAGAATTTGATGCAAACAAGTTTACCTTTACCTTTAAATGTGTAGTACCCTTATCAGATCTGATCTTTAACATTTTTCAAACTCAGTTGTTCAGTTTGTGTTTCTGACTTGAAGCTCAGAAACTGCCAGAAACTTCGCACCACTGATACCCAGAGCAATAGTGGGGATGTGCAAAATTAGGCTGTCATGTCATTGTTTGTCCAAAGGTTTGTGAAGTAAACATACATAAGAAAAAAAAAAGTTCTTAGAAGTCTTCACTTCAAAATCACTTTATAAAAATCTCACCAAAAACGTAAGATTTGGACAAGAGGTGCAATCACAGCAAGAAAAACAAAACAAACCACAAAAACATTTGTTTTGCAAATACATGTGGAGTGCCTGAATCTTTTATTATTATTATTATTTTGTAAATGGATACTAAATATTTCTTGAGGTCAGCTTCTATGAAGCTATCAGTAATAATTCATTTACCTGAAGCAGAAATCCATCCCATGGCAGTGAGTTTGTAAAGTGCTGGAAGGCTAACAGCTAGCTACAGGCTAGCTGAGACTGTAATCATAGGATACGACGGCATAATTGGGATTATTAACCTTTCACACTTTTGTATAAGACAGTCACGTTTGTTGCTGAGACTCTAAGTGTTAAAACCTGTGACGCTACGCTAAAGTTATGCTAGATGACGATGCTAACTATAACCTGGTTCACCAACTTAAACCTGGGGTGTCTAAACCTTTAAAATAATTAAATTATTAATTAGTAGTAACTAATAATTCAGGTGTGTTTGGCAGGAAAAGCAGCAAAATTAACCACAGTCTTCTTTTGTGAAACATCCTCCTCTAAAATAGCATGGTTAGTAGGAATACCTTCAGTTTCAAGTTGCTGAAATCAGCTAAATCCGTCTGACAAGCTGTTAGCTTTCCACCGTCTCTAGGATTTCTATAAATTCACCAAAACCATATGACCTCCACCAACAGGTAAGGGAACTATTATTCTCAGTTTAAAAAAAAAATCCTATTTATCCATTTAAAAACACAGGGTGCATTAAATTCATCTGCTGTGGCGGTAAGTCGTCGCCATGCCAACTGCAGTCCAGGGGGGGCAAAACCAACAGGTAATCTTTCTTCCCCACTCCCCGTTTTATCCAGTTTCCACAAACAAACGCTCGTTTCAATCTGAGTCCAGTCAGGCTGGATGGATGTGTGTCTGCGGCGCGAGGCTGTTGTGTAGGTGCCGGTTGAGCCAAGATAATCAGACGGATTTGAGGAATGCCTTGGCTCGGTTGTGGGTTTACAGCTTTTTTTTTTCCCTTCGAGTGCCATTGAGAAACCAGAGCGCTTTGACTGCATTACGACTTCATTAAGGGGTTAGTTAGCTATGGAATAATATTTGGAAGGGAGGAATGCTGCTCAGTGACAGGCCACACATAAATTAACATCATGGAGTAGTGCGCTTACGAGGCTAATGTGGTGAAATGAATTCATAGAACATGTTGCTGCCTGAGCGACCGGGTGCCGCGGTGAGGTCGCAGGAGCCGGCGGTAGTCCGGAGAATGAGGTCGGACTTTTCAGCCGGCAGAGGCTGTTTTGCCCTGGTTAGCATAAAACAGTAGCATTTTCTTTTGGGTCCAAAGCCGATGGAAAAGAAAAAAAACAAAAACAAGAGAGGACGTTGTGGAAGACTGAGACCCCTTATGCTTTGTGAGACGAAGTCCCCCTGAGGAAGGGGCGAGGCTGTTGAAGTGAAGTCCCAGTGTTTTAATCGCCCTCCGCCTGGGCGTGGTCAGGGCGCCTCGTCGATGCTGGCGCCCATGCGCTTCTGGATGGTCACCCGGCGGATGGATGGCTTGGACGTCAGATCTGGCTTGGGTGGGAACTGCTCCGTCAGAATCCGCAGGATGGAGTCCATTTTCCGGTCCATCTGGTGAATCTGAGAGAGATGAAAAGAGAGAAAGTTTAACTGGATAGTTCAACGCCAGATCAACACGCTAAACCAGAGCGAGCCGGCGACTTCGTGCCGCTGCAGAGTGGCTGCCGTCGCAATGACAGGGTAGCGAGAGACGTAATGACACGTCTCGCCGTTGGCGTCTTACCTGGCAAAGCCACTCATTACAAAAAGCTGCTAAGGTATATGATGTATGAGTGGGCTGACAGACACACACACACACACACACACACACACACACGTCCGCCGCTGTTTACGTGCTTGATAAACTGTAAACACAGGTGTGTCACCCGGCACACACACACATCTCTGAGAGCCTAACCACAGGGATGACTGCAGATAAAAGGCCGCGCCTCATCAGCTCAAGTAAACTCCAGACTGACTGGCAAAAAAAAAATCACTCAGAGTTCATGAACTTTAAGTAAGGTGACCTCTACCGCTTCTCTTATATCGTCATCTTCCTAATATAAAGGCCTAAGTTATCATTTGGCAGAATATGCCTCAGGCTTTTTTTTTTTTTTTTTTTTAAGGAAACTGACGACATTATATGTTTAGTATGTTCTTTTTTTGTCTTTTGTTTTTTTCAGAGTTTCACCATAAGAAGTCCAGTTGATGTGAAAATGTGTGCAATAAAAAAAATGGTGCTCCAACCAAAACGTCAGAGATTTATATCAAGCGATTTTCCCTCGATCAGATGTTTTGGTGAATAAATAAGGAAGATTGCATCATTTTGAGTTTTAAAAGTACAACCTCCATGAAAGATCCTGGAGGATTTTTTATTTTTATTAAAAATTGTTTTAAGAAAAAAAAAAAATCTGAATCTGTCAGTATCTGAGTTGGACCTCAAACGAAACCTAAAAATTGGTATCGGCTGTAAAAGAGTGAGCGATCGTTGCATTTCTATATAAAATGTTCAAAACCACGACGACTAAATCTGCTTGTTCTTCTCAGCTAGGACCCCTAACACAGAGCCATTTTAAAATTAGCCATACGCTTTCATGAGTTTGTTTCCAACAATACAAATAATAGTCATTTCCTGGTTACTCACCAGGCTATTTCCTGCTTCCTTAAAGACAAATTAGTGCAAGTCGAAGAGAAAAGTACCCGCTCTAACCTTCAGACGCAGAAATCCTTTTTAGGGGTTTCATTGAACAAAGAGTTGTTAAGCAAATTCTGAACAAAAACACCAACTAATCTCTAAAAATGAGATGTTCGTAAAGAAATTTACTCTATGGAAGAGAACAAGTTTGGGTTTGGAAGTGACACCTGAGTCAAACAGACTCCGACGCAGACAGACTGCCGAATGCAAAGTTGGATTGGAACTTTCCGGCACCTACACTTTAATTTCCACCTCACTATAGCTTTAGATTATAGTGATTACTGCAACTCAGAGGTAGGAAGCAGAAATGACTTCGTTTCGCCTTGCGTTCTGCTGCGAACTGCAAATTAAGTAATCCAGAACGATAAGGCCTCGGGCCGTTCAAAGCGATTCACGGTCTGGATGTCGTCTGCCTTTACAGAGCCGTCTGTGATCTGTAATTTGCATTCTGTGCAAAGTATGGAAAAGGTTTCTTTTTTTTTTTTTTCACCCAGTGTTTTGCATTTTGTCAAATTCAACGTCACACACGCATTCACTGGGATCCAGTGATACAGACTTCAAGAATTACCCTGAAGTGGAAGGAAAAAGATGCATTGCATGGTTTTATAGATTGGTATATATAAAAACCTTTGAAAGCTAATTTATATGGTGAATTGAAGTCTACAGTCAGTATGTAAATAATGAAAACAGTGTGAAGTGATCTGATTAAGAGTTTATACAGATTTTTTCCCCCTCTGTTTTGTAAAAGTCTAACAATTGCTTGTACACATTGGTTCTCTGGAAAATCTCACTTCCTTTCTAAATAAAAAGCAAACATTGTGTCGACCCATAACAAGCGCACTGTGCCAATGATGGCCTTTCCAAACTCACTCAAAACTAAGAGGAACGGCCAACTTTGAACGTGATGGAAAATTTGAATTTGTCCAACCGGTTTTGAACCACAGAGCATTAATCTCTAAACTTACGATAAAACCAAAAACCTTTAAGTTTGTGTCTAAGATCAGACATGGTTAGCGATAGGTGCACACGCCCACCTTAAGCTATAAATGTAAAGATGCCCAAAACATCTAGTCCACGCACGTTTCTAACTACAAAGAGATTCAGAGCTGAAGAATCGCTTTGTACTCGTCGACTTATCCTCCAACAACTACTTACAGGCTCCCACCAACAACCTGTGACGACTGAAATGGCTTCCAAAACCTGTGGAAAGTGATAAGAATGGCTCTTTGTGAATCAAAGCCTCGACATTAAAGCACATCAAAGGAGCCCAACATCTGACGCGTGGAGCTGAACGGACAGATTCAGACTCCTGTCTTCTTACTAAACGCTGATAGCGGCTCCGGCCAGACCGAGCGCCTCCTGGCAGCGCTCACTCAGACAGTTAACGTCGATTTCATTGGCTTTAGGGTTCGTTTGTTCCGTCTCCGCGTCTTTTACTGTGTGCGCGCCTGATGGCTCGGACGTTTTTATGGCAGAGGGGGACGTTTAGCAGCTATTCTCCCCGTGGAGGTACGAGCCGTAAAGAGGACGACGGTATAAATCACAAATATTGGGGATGGTCGCAAAACGTCACAGAAGGAAACAGAGTTTAAGCGAGATCATAACGGAGAACTTTTTGCTTTACGATATCAAAGGCATCTTTGATGTGGATCAGCACCAAAGTACATTAAATATCTGTTGTCGTTGCCGTGTCAACCTTGTGGACCATTCAGGTGTTCTGGTTCTGATTCTGATTCTGGTCTGTGTCCTCAGAACCAGAACCAAACACAGAAAAGTAGCTTTCAGCTTCTAGGCTGTAATCAGGAGCAAACTTCCAGAAAACTGCAAAACTGCTGAAACACTGAGTTGCTTTAAATTAAGGTTAAAACCCCACTGGTTTAGAGTTGCCTTTGGTTTGTAGGACGCAACAGAGTATAAGGAAATAAAAAAAATAACTTCAAATGCAGAAAATTAAGACCTGAGAAAATAAAAAATATATAGAAAATTACTATAATAAAGTCAAAATACCACAAGAATGAACTCGTACAAGAATAAAGTCACAATATTATGTGAATAAAGTAATAAAAATACAAGATGAAAGTCATACTATTACAAGAATAAAGATGTTATACGAGAATAAATTCATACTATTACGAGCATAGTCACATGGGAATAAAGTATAAAGTCGGAATATTACCATTTAATTCTCATGTTATTATGGATAAAGTAATAAAAATATGACTTTATTCTTGTATTTTATTACTTTATTCACGTAATACTATGACTTGTTCTCAAAATATTACAACTTTATTCTCATAATTTTGACTTTATTCTCACACTGTCATAACTTTATTCACATAGTTTCATTTGCTAATTTTTTCTAAGTGTGGCCGTAATGCTCTGTCGTATTTGTAAGTAGAAGATATTTGATGAACTCTGTGATGTTTTTATGGTGTAAAAACGTCACACAGCTGCCTCACTGCTGAAATGCTCTACAGCACATATAGTGATAAACTTGACTTGACATCTCTGTGGCACCAGACAGGAGGAAACCGGCTCTGCTGATCGCCACCACAACGTGAGCACAATGTGCCGCCTCTTTTCTGACTCTTTCAACCAGAGGTTTGAATTTTCAGCTCGTACAGATTTCTTTCTTCCACCCCCGTCTGAGAATGAACTGTGACCTAAATAGTTGTGCAAAGCAGACAAAGCACGCGCCAGAGCCCAGATGAAGATTACAGATAAATAAGAAATCATAAACATCTCGGGCACAACTCTACTGAGTTATCAGCCTTCTCGCTGGAGCCTGAAATGGAGCAGGGGAGAAAAAAACAAAACAGAAAAAAACCCCCCACTAAATTACACAACGGCGTTGCGATAACACGATTTACTGATCGTGTTATCAGTAAATCACATCAGCTTTGGCCGGTGACAGAGCCCTGAAGGAACAGTGAGGTTGTGAACCTGTTGCCGGTGATTTTCACGCTGTGTTGTATATATAATTAGATTTCCTTTCACTTTACCACAGTGACTGAAAACGAGAGAAGCGTAAAAGGGTGGAGCTTTTTTTTCTATAGCTTGTTTCTGTTTGATTTATTCAGATATTTACTGATAATTCCTCATTCAGAGAACACAGTGCTCTCACTGCAAAGTAAACATCTTCCTCGTGACGCCAAGTCAGAGTTTCTACATACTTTAATTCAAAGATTTCAGACCTTTTCAGATTCATAGCTGCAGAAAATATTTCTACGCTGCTCAGACCGTTAGTAAGGCACTTGCAAAAACCACCGACTAAAAAAACGACGGATGAATTTGGGAAACTTGGCCTGTGTTCACACCGGCCCCCGTCTGAGTCCACTTTAATCAAACTCTCGTCTGTTTGCCTAGGAAGGTTTTTGTGTCGTTTCCTCCAGCGGTTCTTGGTGCAGCGCCTCCACAGGCGAGGAGGTGAACAAGTTTTTCAATAGTTTGGTTTGTTTGACACATTGCAGTGTGAAGGCAAACCGCAGCAGCTGAAAATTTAACAAACGTTGCAATTTTGGTCCCCAGTTGAACAGAGTTTACCGGATTATCAGACTACAGATTATTTGGTAGACAGCAGGACAGGGAATACAATATCTAAAAATAAAATATATATCCATTCTCAAATTTCCTTTTCCATACATAACCAAAACACGTTCTAGCTGAGACGGACATATTAGACCGGCTCATACAGCTGGAACCAGATATTTACATACACCGAATGAAATGATATCCAATTTTGTTCCTCACTGTCTGAAGTTAAACCAGACCAAAAAACGTCTCATGTTTTAGGTTAGTTAAAATGACCAAAATTGTGAGAAGCTTGTGAAAAGGTCATTTTTACTTACATTTCCTACTTTAACAAAAAGAGGAAATAATAAATGGA